CTAAATTTGGACAATGAATATGCATTATTTTTAATATTAATTATAATAATATATAATATTGATTTTTTCATAAGAAATTTGCAGTCCCTTAAAGATATTTGGGTATTTATTTATTTATAGAATTATAACTATTGGCATAATAATGATGGTATATGGATTATAATTAAAAAAAAATATGTATATATATATATATATATATATATATATATATATATATATGTATATATTTCGGCAATAACTTCTGAAAATACTTATATAGTATATATCTGGAACATTTAATTAAAAAACACATAATTTTATATGTAAAAATTAATAAGTATTTAATTTTTGATGAACGGAAACATTGAAACTCACATAAATTATTAGTATTAATATAAATTTTTTTATTTTTTCTATAAAGTTTTTTCAAATATAAAATAACAGAATATTGTTGCAATTGACGTAGACTTAACGATATTATTTAATTTAAAATATATACAAAAATATCTTATAATAATATAAAACAAAAAACGCTTATTATGTTAATGTGATTTTCGTTAAAAGTATAATGAATCATAATGTTCTGTACTTTTATAATTTTTATGAAAATTAAACATCCATGGAATTAACAGTGAATTTGCACTCTTAACACATATAATGACATACTATTAATCAATTAGAAAGGATATATTAAAAATAAAAGCTTATATAAGAACGATTAATTCAAATAAAAATATTTGCAATTATTTATGCTCGATTTAAAATGTTTCTTGCTAAAATAGAAACTTTAAATTTAATATGATTACCGATAAGAGATATTGACCGTTGAGAACGTAAAAAATGTTAAATGACGCAATAGTTCGATCTATTTTCTATTCAACTGAACATATTGTTCTCATTAAAAGTTTACGCGAATCTAATTGCTTAATAGGCTTTTAATTACCACCCAATGCCCATTAAATATTTATTATCCAACGTAATAAATAATTCACATCATTCGCTGAATTATAAAACACATGAAATGTAAGGAATAACTTTATTGTCCAGTTAATAATAGAATAATAATAAAGTTATACTTATTGTATTTGAACTAAATATACCGAGAAAATATAGAAGAACTGAAAATATATGGAGAATTTCATCGAATTATTAGAATAATATAATGGTGCACGCCAGTGTTGCAAAAAATCTTGAAGAAGGCAAAAAGCCTGTCAGATCCATTAAACTACTCCTTGAAAGCTTTGTTTTTATATAGATTTTTCACGAGTAAGAGAGTTGGGAATAAAAAAATTGTCAATCTGAAATTCAGTGTAAAATGAGTGTTTATGTGTATCCGAAAGAAAATAATTTCATCGAAACAATGTAATGTATTTAGTTTGGTAAAGAAATTAAAAAAAAAAAAAAAAAAGCAATATATATATATATATATATATATATTTCAAAGGATTTATAATTATTCAATATATCAATGTTATTTAGAAAATATTCTACATTTTAAGATTTTCTAAAGTCCTTTAATTTGATTAATATTAACAATTGAAGATAACTAATCGAGAGCAAACACCAATCTATTATGTTTCAATAATTTATCGATTTTTTCATAAATTAACTGTAAATATGTTTATGTATCAAAAAATATTTAAGTATGTGTTTATATCGTCGTTAAATATTTAATCGCAAGATTTTTTTTTAGTAAATTTTTTCGTTGCTTTATCGGTTCACATAATGAAATGCTTATTGGGCACTTAAACATTTTGATATTTAAATTTGAAGAAATTCAAAATTTCGATAAATGTTGAAGTAACGAAAATATTTTTCATAAACCAGTAAAATTAGAATTGTAATTCTATTAGAACAGTCAGATAAAAAATAAAAATCAAGAGCTATATCATCATTTCTATTTTGTAATGATCTGTATAATCTATGTATTATTATAACGGTGATTTGCTCTAATTTTTAAGGATACGCGTCTATTTAGCCTCGGTTGTGATATTAAATTGTTTTTTCTAGAAAATATTTGTGTAAATTTTGTATTTTCCGATGGATTAACATCATATAGCAATGGAGTATATAATGGTTATTATTAGAAGGAATGCTAAAAAATGTATGGGAAAAGAAACTGATGAGCGAAAGTGGATTACATTATTATTTATTTATAAGTAAGTAAGATGGCGATTATAAATTTTTCAAAAATAAGATGATATCGAACGTTTATCAAGAATTACAAGTTTAGCATAGTATGATTTTTATTAGATTAATGATTATTTAAAATACAAATTTTAATATCTAATCATAAAAAAAATAAAAAAGCAAAAAAAAAAAAAGAAGAAATTATACACTCTTGTATAAATAAAAATTTGATTGCATTTAAATATTTGCTTTGCTTCGATACATTAAAGTTGTATGTATCTTATCGACGTTGTCAACGTTTCTAATTCCTAAATTATTAATTGTATATAATTCGTGTACATATATATATATATATATATATATATATATATATATATGAAATAATAAAATACATAAAATTTGCTCACTTGTTTTAAAAAGCACGAAGATGTTGTGATGATAATAAAGTACAATAAGCATTATCGAAAGAACATTTCAACTCGATATCTGTCGTTGACATAGTACTCGACGAGCACAAGTGCCCCGTTATTTCACCCTGTTTGACTCGAATCATTACGTAGTAGTGAAGGATTTTGACGTTGAAATACAATTCCGTAAAATTGTACTCTTCTTATTTGCGTCGTAATTACATATCACAGATAAGAGTTATGAGATAAGTTATTAGTCGCATTGCAAAATTTCTTTAAGCCATGCGGATGAAGCCACCCGGTACTCGATACTTCCATCATCCTTATCATTTTTTTTTTCGTGGAATAATTATGAAGTTGAAAATAAGCGACAAAAAGGGAAGATGGCGAAGACGGGATTGACAATTAATTCACTATGCATTAATAAATTTTAATAAATATTTTCATGCTTTGTTGTTAGTCCTTTTAACCACGATTATGTTACGATTTTATTCAGAGGTTAGTGAAATACTTTTTTTTTGACATATTTTAAAATCATTCAATATAATTAAAATCATGAAAATTTTCATGTACGTTAATTCTATGCTTTTTGATATTTAATGAAAGCATAATTAATTGCCTAATGATAATTAAATGGCTTTTTAATCAACATGAATAATATAGAAATATAATGAATAAGAGTCAAGGCAAAGAATTAGTTTTTATTTTTTTCTATTTTGTAAGTCATTTGAAGAAAAAAGGCATTATAATATCAAGGGCATTCAATTATTTTTGTACTAAAAATATCTGTTATTTACAAAATATAATAACATATATTATAGAATATTAATATTAGTATACTATGAATTTTTTTTATCGATAGTTAATTAAACAGTGAAGCCGTTTTGCCTATATAACCATTACTTATTTATATAAATACAAAAGATTAATTAAATTCCAGTTAATATAAATTTCAGTAAATACAGTAAAATAATATAAAATGCAAATTTTTAACATTTAGCACTATTTGTACTGGAAGCAATTAGATTAATGACTATACAAAATAATTGCAATAATTTCAAATAACATTCTATTTTGATAATAATACTACAATTAGTATTAAATCGCTATTAATAAATTTCAATATTTTTCTTCTTTAATGTCTGTTCTGATAAGTATTATTTGAAATGAAAGTATTTGCTGAATTTTACATATTTCATATTTTCATTGATTGATGTAACTATGTGAATAAATTGTTAATTTCTAATAAATTAAATCTTAACGATATGTATAATTTCGATTAATATTAGTAAAGATATAAGTATGGTAAATTAATGGTCTAATTAACTAAACTATAGAATAATTTAAATTCATATAATAATATTAGTAATATATAATTTTTTTGTTTTTTCTATTCCTATATAAAATAATTCTACTGAATTCTCTAAATAAAGATACGTAATTTCGCTCAATATATATTTAGTTTTTTTTTTGTTTTTTTGTTTTTATTTTTATTTTAATTATTCATTACCTTATGTATGATATATTTAATTAAATCCATGTACTGAAAAACAAAAGTTTTATTTATGTTCTTTAAGAATGGAAAAAAGTAATATTCTATCGACATTAAGAGTCGCTCATAATATTTCGTTTAAATGCTAATAAATGTTCGGTAAATAAATAATATTGTATTTAGTATATAAAAACAAGCGAGCAGAGCATTTTTTCATTTACATATTTTATTATTTTCGTGTAAATACAAATAAAAGTTTTTCTCGCATTGCTTTATTTGGTTTCAGGAATCTACATAAACTGTTTAGGTAAAAAGTACAACCAATGGTGAAAATTGACTTATAATTTATTAAATTGTTTACAAAACATGCATTTTAATAAGGTTTTATCATATTCAGGTTATTCTTTGAAATAGATTCAAATGAATTTGTAGAATATTTCAGGCATTTATCAAAAAATCATATACATCACACAAAACTATATGATAAAAATAATATGTGTATATATAGTTTTTATTTTAATATTGAGTTGTTTTTTTATAATATTTTACTAAGTGACATAATATTGCATTTGGTATACTAATATTTCTTATAAAAAAATGCTAAATTCATTGATTTTTCATAGAATGATACAAAAATTTTTGTGCATGTAAAAGATTTGCTAATATAACGAGAATTAATTATAATTTACCTTCTTTTTCCCAATAATTGATCAACATAGCGAGTACATTTAACAGCTTCTTATGAATAATATACACATACATAATAAACTAATTTTCATTTCTATAATAACCGTTAACACTCTTATAAATTATTTTGAAACAATAAAAAATATATGATAACTTATAATAACAAAGGATAATCGATCGGTATAATCATAAAGATTTTATTAATTTATGTCGTAAAGAAAGGAATGCTTGTAAAGAATGTTGCTTAGGACTCGAGTTATCATCGGCGATAAATCCTACTAGGATTTGCATCCTCTTGTCTTGTCGGCAAAATGTCACTTGGCTAAGAACAACGAACGCCAATTGGCAGTGGAAGCTCGGCGATAAAGTCTCTGGCGATCCTCGCAGTTCCACTTACGACGGTGTCTCGTTTTTCGGCGCCTGGACGACTTCTTCGGCGATCGTATGAACCAGGGGCTCCCCGTCGAGCTTCGCTAAGTTTGGCAATCGTCTGGTCACCTCCACACGCCACTGCTCCAGCTAATGCGATGAGAAATTTAAATAATGGGCGTGAAAATTTCAGGCTCCATCGGCTTTTACGAGGTGCTCCCAACCCAACCCAACCCCCGATTATCGAAATTTCATCGCTTCTATTATCATTTCGGGACGTTTTATCATGTCATTATAGGGCAAGGGCAAGTATATTGCCGGGCCTTAAAGGACTGCGTTAGTGACTTTCAATATCCTTTGTGATATACATTCGATTGGAAAATTGTAGATAACGGCGCGGGCGACGTCGCCATGGTAATCTATTTTCTCTCCCTCACGTGTACTTTGAATTGCAAACGTCCTAGTCGCGATACTCCATCTCCCTATGAGTTCGTTCGCATTAATTCGCTTCTATTGTGTCACTAAACGTGAGAATGAGTACATTAAATCTTATAATAACTCCTTTGTCATCGTGAAAGCTAGACGGGGGGTATTTTGTACGATTTGCCATTAAAGTCCGCATGATAATAAAGTACTTACGGTACGTCAGGCCAAAAGTGAATATTATTTCCAAGCGAATTAAGTATTTTCATTTTTACTATGATAAAACAAAAAAAGGGGTTGGGGTGGGGTTGGCGGTTGGGGTGATGGGGGTTGGGGGTAGGGGGGGGGAGGATAAACTATAATGACAATATTTATGCACTTTATGTTTCATTTGATTCGATGCGGAGTTACATTTCCCATGACTCTGAATTAATAATTAATTTCATTCTCAAGTAGAGATCGCAAAAATGAAATAAGAATTTTTCCTTCGCTTTATGAATTCTTTTCCAAATATATATATATATATATATATATTCTAAGCTTTTATGTAAATAAAATAAATGAATAAGGAGCAACAAAAATTCATTTATTATTATCTTGTCGTGGAACTGGTTTTTCCGCTATCTTCATTATTATCTTTCAGATCAATAAATCATTGCTATAAAGCCAAATGACTTTGGTCGAGTGTTCTCGTTTCAATTCTTTAAGAGTAAAAACTACCCTCACGAGCCAAAATCTAAATCACAATAACTTATTCAAACAAATATTTTATAATTCAAGGATAAAATTGGAAAAATCGTGTATAAAGCAGCTTAGTATTGCTTGAGTAAGGAGAATCAATTTCATGCAATTTACATCTTGAATTCGCGCATTATATAAGGACGAAGCAAACGAACGAGCGTACGGGACGTCGTATTTTTCCTCCTTCGAACAAATTTATGATAATAATTTCGCGATGCATTTGCCGTGATATATGGGCACGGCAGGCAAATATTAGTTGGACGCGGATCGACGGAAGCGCATCAAAGCTACGACAATCAATTCCCGAGTTTTCTGCGAGTGCGCCGAGGTCATGATAAATTCAAGTACAGTACCTCGAGTGTCTCGGTAATGGGGTTCCCAGAAAACACGAGGTCCTGGAGGTTCGGCAGCTCCTGGAGCCTCGTGAACTCGTTCCACTCCCGCACGAGGTTGTTGGACATGTACAAGACGCGGAGGTTGCGCAGGGCGGTGACACCCTTCATCTTCTCGATGGCGTTGTAGGAGATCCAAAGCTCCTCGAGGGTGTCGCCGAGGATCTCTAGTCCGGCGAAGCTCTTGATTTGGTTCCGACCGAGGGAGAGGATTCGTAGGCACTTGAGACTGCCGACTCCTGCGGGAAGACGTGCTAGAGTTTTGAGATGCGTTCACGCCTACCTTTGCTAGAAAAGCGACATTCTCGTGTGCACTAGATATTTTTCACCGAGTGTTTTAAGGGCGCTTAGGGGATGCTGATGGGTTGACATTGTCGGGGCTTGACGTTTACCAGGGAATTTATGAGCAAGTCGCTTGTTTTTTTTTTTTCACTTTTCCTACGAGGAGTTCCTACGAACGACATCTGAATAAATTGTCTTACGAACTTTCGTCTCTTTACCGACGTCGACTTTCGTTCGTTAGGATTTCTTGTAAGTGCGGACCGAACGAAGGGATTTTCCGAATTAGGAAAATGTTGAACTTCAAAACAAGCTCTTTCTTTACCCAACTACCGTTTCAACTAAGAAATTTTCTACATTTTTAGAAAAATTCTACCTTCTCAAGTATCTTCTTCCATTACCTTTGATAAATGAAGCTGCATTTTTTTATCCTCCGATTCCTTTTGCTCAACTTTTCCTTGAAAGTACAAGTGAACGTTTATTTTCGGCATTATTTTGAGTCCGATCGAAGCGAAAAAGTATAAAAGGAAAAATAAAGATTTGGCAACTTTGTGTCGCCGAGTCATTTAAGAAACAATATACATATATTTTTTATGTTTAATAAATCTAGCATTTTTCAATCGATCATTATTGCTATAAATGTGAAATTTATATTTTACAATTTCACAAATCTTAATTTCTAGTTGACCTGAAAATCTTTTCTCTCAAACATCTACATTATAAAATGTATAAATTTAAAGCTAATGTTATATTCTCTTCCGACGAACTTGATTATTGTAAGTACGAATGAATTGAATAATATATTACATTAGTGAAATTAAAAGTTTAACCTTTCTTTTAAAAAGAAAAAAAAATGGATGTCATTTTGAGCGCAATTTTTTACTTGATTAACTAGAATCTCGAAATGAGAAAGGCAAACCAAACGAGGTATTGCGAGTAATTATTACCATTGAGTACTTATTTTAATTAAATTTTGAGAATGAAATGATTTTTACTATAGTTTCGATAGAGTTATTTTCAGAGCACTTGAATTGAAATCTTCGCTTTAATCAAAGTGCTTTAGTCCTTATTATAGAATTTTCAACTTACAAGCAGTAAATATATTTTTTTATTCAAAGGAAAAGGCGGAAATTATCTTGTAGTTTTAAATTAGATATCATCTTTCAACGACTAATAGTAATTCAAACTAAATTTAAAATAATGTATATGTTTTATAGTCATCATTGGCATCAAATTGTCTCGTATAATTGTAAAAAGATTTATCTTGACGGCAAATCGAATTTGAACGATCACTGCTTTAAAGTAAAAATTATACTCCACACAATTGCCCATACGAATACGCACGTTTAAGTAAATTCCTAATGCATATAAAAGTTGTCAAATGATACAAAAATTAAAGAACAATGAGAGTGAAATTTTATTTTTAAATTAGAATCTTGTATTATACATATAATTTAATTGTAAAATGTTTGCTAGTTTTATAATAATTTGCTGCCCGCCCTAGCTAATGCTTTGGAAGGACTTACGTGAATGAGTTTTAGATTAATACAGTGTGCGTGCATACTTCGTTATATATGGTTTATTTACAATAATATTATTGATGTGCTGGATGTGTGTATACTATGTTCAATCACAACGATGCAGTTGCTTGGTACTGATCCTGTGGATGCTGTGCAGCTATGGAACTCATCCTTTAGAGCATCTCTTGCATTTTGTACGAGTTTTGCACGAGCTGACATGGTGATGTGTCAGGCAGTTGAGACAGAGTCTGCGTTCTATTGTCAAATTCTGTTTCTCTACTGCCGACATTTCCTTGAATTTTCGGCACGTTAGAATGTTTTTTTAGTGCAGCATTTGCACGAATGTGATGCGGATGATTCCGATGATTGGGTTGAATGACGCTTGTTCACTGATGTACTGCTGATCTAGGATGGTCTTTTCATTGGCCATTAGTTGAGGTGAAATTGCCAATTGACAATTACGATAATTCTCTGGTCTTGCGGTCGAGGTGTTGAGAGACCCGATGTATTGTGATATGATTCCATAAATCTTCTGCGATTCCCAGTGCTAATAGCTGTTTTGTCGCTTCATCCGAGCTGTCGACGAGTTTCTCTAACGCAGCTCTGTCCTCTTTAATTGGGGTTGAAGGGGAGCAAAGCTTAATGAGATATGATTGAACTAATTGCTGTTTGTTGTCGTGACGGTTTGTTAGTAGTAGTTCCCAAGCGGGAGCAAAGGAGTCGCTTGTCAGTGGGAATTCAGAAATTAACCGTACCGAGGTGCGGAGGTAAAACAGCTTTTCAACATTGCTAATGTCATTGTTGTCTATGACCAATTCCTTGAAGAGATTGCGAAACTCATATCACTCCTCTTGGTTTACTGGAATCTTGGGAGGAGGTGTGATTGGGAGTGGGATCCTTACTGTTTGTGCCTTGGTTAGCGAGTCTTTTCTCTTGATCTTGGTGGCTTAACGGCGGTTGTTGATAGTTTCTCGCGTGGTCGAGTGTTGTGTGAATTCCTCTTCATAGACATTCTTCACAAGGAAGTCTTGATTACCATACGTAGCTGGCCAGGTCATTTCCAAGTACGTGTATTCTTTGATGAAGTCCTTGTGCAGTTCCTCGACGTATGACAATGCATCTAAAATTTCATCTGGTAAAATGTCGCATTTTGATGACAACACATTCCTCCTCAGTCAGGTACTTCATTAATGAGATACGGTCCCACTGAGTTTTTGCCTGGAAAACGAGCTAAAAGGGTAAGTGTGATGACGAGGCACTACCTAGTATGGATTTTCTAGATTTCTTAATATCTTTTTCATCCATGCCTTCCTTGGTTGCCATGTTGTTGTTGGTTTGCGCTGCAGAGCGCTGGGAGGTTGTAAAACTCCGCATACCTCTTTTTACTGTGTTTTAGTGGTGGGTTGATACAAGGAGGGGTAGGAGGTCGGAAATCTCCGAATGCTCCTTTTGATGGTGAAGTGCCACGTGTTGCGTAGTACGCAGAGATGAAAATGTATGATGGTGAGATGCTCGAAGACACCAAATGTTTGATAGCTTTATAATAATTTGCCGCCCGCCCTAGCGAATGCTTTGGAAGGACTTACGTGAATGAGTTTTAGATTAATACAGTGTGCGTGCATACTACTTTTAAATATGTTTTATTATGCTTCATTTACAATTACACTACTGATTGGGTTTATTGAATGACAATGATGCAGTTGCTTCGAAGTGATCCTGTGGTGAATAGTTTATCAACACGAGGTGCTCCTTGTTGATGGTGATGTATTGTTGTTGCTGATTTTACAAGGATCATCAACGAATCATGCATACGCCTTATTAGTGAGAATGTTTTGCGTAGTCTGGCGTTTTCTTTATACGAAGAAGATATTTTTCAAATGCAGCAGAGGAGAATTGACGCGTCATCCATCTTCGGTAGCCTGACTCAGATTGAGCTTCTTCACAATGGTGTCCCCAGTAAGTAAGAGCCCCCTTCTTCCTTGGCCTCCTCACTGGGAGAGCCCTTTTCACGTAGCGTGGTTGCCTTAAATATCCAGACGACAGCCTAGTTAGTACTGATAACAACGAAGACGATTGTGGCACTAGAAGCAATGGATGCAATTGTGCACTTTTTTCGGATGTAACGACTTTTTCCAGATGTCCAACGACCGTTGGGGTTATCCCAGAGATTCTAATACTTGGGGGGTTCCCTGAAATTCTAACGCGTGGAAAATTCCCGAATTATTATTAATAAATAAATCATTTTTCTTCTGTAAATAAACTCATAAATCTGTGGATTAGTTAATATGGGTTATTCATTAGAAAAGCATATTTTAGAATAAACATCGATTGTACGATTAAGGTAGTAGCTGTAAGTAAATACAATGCACTAAAGGGTTTTTATTGAAACCTTAGTCTTAATCTAATGTAAATGTCTCCCATTTATTAAATTTATTTATACTTTTATAGCGTTCTCAATATATATATATATATATATCAAGTGTAGTAAATTATAATTTTTGCAATAATAAATAAAAGATACAATAAATCAATGCTAATATAGTATACTTGTGATCAATTGTTCAATAATGAAAAGTATCTTTTATGATAAAGTAGAGCTATACTTTAGGAAAAAAGTCACAATATCTTTATCGTACTTTTTATTGTGCATTTGTCAATACGACAATTGAAAATAATGACGTTACTTTAGTTGAATGTTAATCATAGAGCTGCAATAATTTTTTTTAATATCTTTCTCATATATGTTTGAATATGATAAAATAGCTATTTTAAGTGTTACATGTTTTAATTGTAATTAAGTTAAAATTGATTAATTATAAATTTTAAATAGGTTACATTATGAAAAATAGTACACAAAATCTATTCAATTAATAGACACTCGCGGGTTGAACTTTAAATCGTTATGTGCAAGTTAAAAGGTTACATGGAATATTTTATCAATAATATTTATTTTTAAATGATATGATATTGTTTTCCAATAACTGAATGTAAAAATTTTTTCAAACAATATGATCGGTATTATGTCGAAGAGAAGTGTGTATTAAATTAATATAAATGTCGATAATGTACCATTACGTAAAGCTAGTTTTGAATAATAAAATTCAATTCCCATTAGCTTTGACATATGAAAATGAAAATAACAAAAGTTTAACACGGACGCTGAATATTTACATTGCACTTCATTATCTATATTAAATGCATCACGTACTGTCATTAATAAATAATTGATTAATGTATAAATAAATGTAGATATGCTTTTGCACTGTATTAAATCTCTTTAGAATTAATTTAATTATCTTTTATTATTAATATGGTACATTAACGTAAATATACCCTTATTAAAATTCGTGAAAATTATGAATGGACGATGATTATAATCTGATTAATTTCTTTACAAATTTTAACCAAGGAGACGCTATCTCGCTAACCGATTTATTTCATTTCTTATTTTAATTATAATTGATTTTTCCTTAGATCTATAGAAAAATTTAAGGAAAAAATTAATAAATGGCTGTATTGGTATATATATTTTTATTGTTGGCCTGGATTTGATAGAAAATAGGAAAGAAACGTTATAGAATATGGACAGATTTTATTAAAAAAGATAAAAAAAAAAACAAAAAAAAAACAAAAAAAAAAAAAAAAAAAAAAAACAAAACAAAACAAAGAAAACAAAAAACAAAGCAGTGAAAGTATAAATTTTTCAATTTAAATTTTCCAAATTGAAGATAATTTGATAAAGCATCAAGGTAATAATATAGTGCAATTTAGACATAAGAATCATTAAGATTGTAAATTTTCATATTTTTCCGTTTAGAGGTGTTTCGTTTATTGTAAAATAATTTGTGAAATAAAAGTACGATTAATGGTCGATTGAGTCCTTGAAAGAACAATAGGAGAAAAAAATGGGAAGGGGGAAGTGTTAAAAAGTAGAAATAATAGAGCATATTGAGAGTGATAGCATCGAATAAAGAAATTTAAAGAAATATTAACGAAGTTAAATGAGACGAAGACAGTTGAGAATATAGAAATTACATTAACACGAGCTAAAAGAATTTTGCAGTTCGCTTAATATTGCGAAGATTATTTAATCACGGAAATTATTGATAGATGGGTATATAAAAATAAGCATATAAAATATAAAAAGCAACATATAAAATCGTATTGATAGAAAGATTGGAGATAGTAAGAAATATGTAATAGAGCAAAGAGAGAAGATAATAGTTAAATTAAACGTCATTGTAGTGAGCTATGAGGTGAGTAGTTTGGATAGATTTGATGTAAAATATAAGCCAAGATAGTCTTATTCTTGGATCGATAATTTCAATGGATTTCCGGGTTACTAACGTCGACTCAATGGGAATTAATTTTCGTCCAATTCTATAATTTTTCTTTTTCACTTTATATCACATTAGATCCTTTTTATAGTAGTAAGGAAGAGAATAAATAATAAGTATTCGTTTTAAACATGAAAAAATTTCTAATCCATAAAATGATTATACATTTATTATAATCACAATCAGCATTCGCTATAGATAGGGTAACATTGTGCAAAAATAGTATAAGGATCTTCTATAAAAGAATTTTTATAAAATTACAAAAGACAAAAGTCATTTCACGGATATATTACTTTTTGCTGCTTATAAAGAATGTATCTTTAACATCCTTTCGCCGTAGTACTATTTTTGAAAAATGAAATGAGATGAAAAATTAATATTTATGTCGGATCCGTTAAAAATCTAATTAATTGCTTTGCTCATTTTTAGAAGTAAAACACATATAAATCGTAATAAGCATGGATTTTACATAATTACTATTAAATTGCATTGTAATTAATGTTTGTTCTTGTAGAATTTGTTAATTTGCTGGGTAACAATGTACAAAATTAATAATCTATTAACAGATTAATAAAATTAAAATGACATAAAATTCATTTTAGAGAAAAAAATTTGTCATTTTTTTTTTTTTTAAGTATATATAGTTTGACGTGATGTGTAAAGTTGATTTTAAAAATAAAGTATAATATAATGGTATTATATTTTAATGGATTACCCTTTTTTTTTTTTTTTTTTTTAAATAGATGTATGAAAGGATTTCTAAATTTATATAAAATTATTCGATTTAAGGGCAATTATGTGTCAGAGCAGATGATTCATTGCATTTCAATTGAAAAAATGGCAGTTGGTAAAGCAGCCCTTGCACCCTTTTTTTCGATTATTTATAAATCTTCAATTTGATAAGACTCTTTAAATGGATAAACGTCATTAATAAACTAAAATTTATAACTGTAAATTATTAATCAAAGTAAATATTTTCTTTTCTTTTTTTATTTATTCTTTATTATTATTATTATTATTATTATTATTATTATTATTATTATTATTATACATGAAACAGTTATTGCTTATGCTGTAAAAGTAATTATTTTAAGTTATGCCTGCTTAGTTTAGTCAAAGCGGGCCAGTATTATTACATTATTATCATTTACAGTGCAAATGTTGAAATATGTGACTAATAAGCCTGCAACCCGATATGAAATACGAAATAACTTTATCCTTAGCATTATTCATTTTTATCGGTTTCTTACATTGTGCAAATAGTGTAATATATATCTCGCGTATATTTTATTTGAACTTAATCATATGTAATTTTGCATACTGTGGTATATGTCTAAGTATATATGTATCATGGTTTTGATGAAATTATATATATGCCATTGAAATTTGATGCACCACGTAATGGGATACTGATGGAATTGTGAATCCAGAAATGGCCTTCGGATCTGTATGTAAAATGATTTTAGTCACTTTCTTCGGCTAATGTTGTATATTATGTTATGGAAAATAAACGAATACGTTATTAGATTGAGTAATTTTTTGTTATTTTTTTTTTTATTTTTTTTTATTTTTTAAAAAAAAAATTTTTTTTTTTTATTAATAATATACTAATAAACCGGATGGAAATTAAATTTACAAATTCGAGCTTTTATAATTTAAAATTATATACAAGCAATCATTGAGAACGAGCTATTAGGAATTTTTCCTCTCTATCTCTATCTCTATCTCTATCTATCTCTATCTCTCTTTTTAATATAAAAAAAAAGTTTACAATATTCAATAAAGTGATTAATGATATTATCAGAGCATCTACATAATAAGGAATTATCTCGCTGATAAATAGTAAATATTTCTCAAACGAATTATCATAGCATATTACTGGAAACAATCGATTCTTCATGTTTATATAAATATATTTATATTTTCGTATTATGGATAAATTAATCTGCGATACTAAACGAACTTTGTATAATTAGATTGAATATAAAAGTATTATGCTACGTCTAATTCTACACACTTTTATATAATAAATCACTTTGCCGTAATACTTCAGCAACTTTTCACGATGTAAATGTTTAAAAAAACAACAAAGAAAAAAAAATTTTTCTTTTACAAGCGAATATGCACGTGTAAAGCCATTAGTCAAATTTTCACTTCGTCTGAAATTTAAAGAGGGATAATTAACTTTGTTAGACAATTAAAATTAGACAATTAGATTCAATTAAATCGCAATGTGAAAAATCCATTTTCCTGCTAATGACATTCATCGTTGCATTATTACAGGCAGGAAGTTCAACGTTTCAACGGACGTAAAGTCAACGAAAATTTCAAACTGAAAAATCTCCTGTCAAATTAGTTATACCTGAATTATTATTGTGCACTCGATTGTACAGTTCGTCGTTTGTAGGTATTTTACGAGAAATAGAAGAAAAATTATTTCCCTATTCATTAAACGTAACATCCTATCGTCAGCGTAAGGCTATGAACTATCCCTAATGTACGCGTATTTACATGTAGCGATATAAATTATCAGAACGAGCTAATATATATATATATATATATATATATATATATATATTAATTATATATTTACTAAAAGCGTTGATAATGACCATGATAACCAATATCGTGGAAATAAGTACGGATTATTGCAAATAATATCAGATATAGTTGAAAGCCGAGAACTCTGAGATCCATCGAACATGTGCATTAATTATTATTCGGCCTCGTTTACCAACATCCACTACGTGTTCAAATTCAACACAACATGCATAATTTCAGCACCACGGCCAATAGCCTCACCTGCGATCTTCTCGATCATGTTGGTCGAGAGCGACAGATGCTCGCACCTGCCGAGTACCGACAGAGAATTGTCCATCCGCTCGATCGGCAGCCATTGGAAGTCGAGGCAGACCTCCGTCGCGGTGCTGGCATCCGCACCCCCGTTACACTCCTCCCAGCGCTTTATCGCATCCTTGCACGTAGTCGGCTTTCCCGATGACGCCATGACCTAGTCGAGGGGATCGTCTTATTCGCCCGTCGATCCCTCCACCCACGTGAGCTCGGCTCCCAACTCTTTTTTATGGCTTTACGAAACGCGGAGACTCTCGACAGCGCTTGCTTATCGAGGCATCATTTTCTATATATAACGGTGAATTGTCCTTAAAATCGTCCTTGCACGCTCCAGTACATAACACAACACCGGACAACGCCGTCGTTGCAGTTGTGAATAAGCGAAGAAAGCTCGAAGGATCCGGTCGATAAAGCGCGGTAAAGAAGACCACTAAGAAAAACAAAGTTCTCAACGTTAGAGACGAACAGTGAATATTCACGAATGAACGAGTGGCTTATTTAAAGTAACGATGAGACATTAACGAAACTACCTTGGCGGGTTGCTAGGAAAACAAACTTTCCCTTTAACGACGTGCCCTCTCTCCCGGAGCTGCATCGATTTTAGCCGCCAAATTTAAATTCCCTGCAAAACTTTATTCTTCGCATTTTAACTCGCGAATGCTGAGGGGCGTCGAGGGAGCGCCGCTCTGATAATAAATATCGCTTTCCATTTTTGTTAACGTGGTTTCGTCCCTACTTTACATCCTAGATGATTTCGAAATTGCCAAACTGCAGAAACTCATAACCCAACACTTGCGCACGCTTTACTTACCAAATAATCAAACTACGCGCGTCGAGTTTTCCATGCTGATTAATCCTCGGCGTTTAATTCTATACGCTTTACTCACCATCGATCAGCAATATTTAAACAATCGGCTTTTGTTGTTGCTTATTCAGCTTAGGGGAAAATAATGGCCAGCGTAGAGACGAGCGTGGAGTGCCAAGATAAATTCGCATTAGACTACGGTTTTTCCAAAAGTACATTATCCTGGTTAAAGCACACTTTACAGCGGAAAAGTTTTTCACGTATTTGTGCGAAACGAAGAGGTCGCCTCGTTTACGGTTTTATCGAAAGCTGTTTTTCCTTCCATTTTCTTTCTTTCTTTATTTTTTTTAATTTCATTTCTAAATGCAGATTAATTAATAGATCTGAGTAATATATAATGCGAAATGTGCATTTAAGGAAATATTTAATTAGCATTTTAGATTTTTCCTTTTTATCCATAAGTTTACATTTACTTGTTTAAGTTAATGGAGGGTTGCATTAATTGGCTCGTCCCTGCCTCCGCTATGGACGTACGTTACATGCTGATATCTATCCATGTAACGGTTTACTTTACAGCGATTTTGAATTTAAACAAATTTTTTATTTATTTTATATTATTTATTTTACTTTTAAAGTATTAAATTCATGTTGTTCGGTACGTTGTCGAGCACATTAAAATCTACCAAGTTATCATAAGTGTTTATCACATGTGAATTAATAAATATATTTATAATTACGTCACTGGTTTATTGGTTAATTTATACCAGTAATTATTAAAAACAATTGTAAAGTGTCCAGCGGAGACTATTATGATGGAATAGTGTGATATACGTAAGTAATTGATTGCATACGTAGTTATTGATGTAAAATTAATAAAAGGCACTTCATATATAATGTACACTTTGCCAACAGGATTTTTATTTTTATTATAACAACCAATCGTAAAAATAAAAAAAAATATCACTATTCCTTAGTCGGACGGGTGATGTATTTGGCTAACGAGAAACTCAAGAAGATTTACTTTACACTTTTCTAGGTCGAATCATGACACTAGTTACGTCTATTATAACTAATGATGTAATAATTTATAAATGTATTTCGTATAAGATATCACTTGATAAATTACAATAAAAAATAATATTTCATACATTTTCTTATCTTATATATATATCATATATATATATATATCATATATTTATCATACATTTTCTGCTAGTGTATTATTATTTTAATAGAATTCTAGCCAATTATAAAATAATTGTACAAACAGTCGACACTTTGATATCATTGCAGACAATATTAACTTGTACATAGTAAATTGCCGTATTGGCAATATTGTGTACGCACTTGTAATAATTGCATATGCACGTGCATCTTCGTTAATATTTATTATTCAACATTTAATATTTAGATTTCTTAGTTTTAAAAGTTCTGAAATGCAATCCACTCTTTGTGAAAATAATATTTTTAATAGTCATATAAAAATGTATACATTTTGTATACATTATGTATACATTTTTATACCTTATTTTTTTTTTTTTTTTTTTTTTTTTTTTTTTTTTTTTATAAATTTGTTATACTTTTAGAGGAATAAAAACAACAAGCCATTTTCATGGTTATTATCTCCGAGAACACTTTATCTATATTATCTATCTATCTCTCTCTCTCTCTCTCTCTCTCTCTATATATATATATATATTTATATATAAATATATATATATATACATATATTTTTTTTTTTCAACGGAGACGGAGTATAAACTTAGTAGATTGATGACTGGTATATAAATTTAAATTTCAAATACATTTTAACACTATCAACGTTTTTAATTACTTCATCAGTTAAAACTTTTTGCTGATAATAATCTGAAAATGAATTGAAATATTAATGCCTCGTAGCTATTGTTAATCTAGAACAATCTATAACTCTGTATAGTCTACATTTTTGTCTGCTACAATTGCTTGTTTTATCTTTTTAATATACATGAGTATATGATTAAAAAATAAAAATGTTACATTATAACGTTTTTATAAAAATAAATAGTTGGTTTACATTTTGCGCCAAGAGTACTTTTGCAAAAGTAAAACATTTTCAAAGGCAATTTTATCGGGAGCATGGAACGACTCATTAGAATTTAATGGGCTTAAACATACATATCATTTTACTTATTATATCAGGCGCGAACATTTTTACAAAGTAAATAAATACATTGCAATAATTTTAATGCAAAGTAACCGGCCCACGACGTTTCATTGCAGTAAAATTACTTAACGACGGAGGCAAAAGACCTATTTATTAGAGAAAACCTAACTTACATGCATTTCATGCATTAAAAGGAAAATATAATATATACATATGTGTGGGTAGGCATATGTATAAAGTTGTATAAATTGAATTTCTGATTAAAAGCTCCGATTTCAATCAGATATTCGATAAACGAGTATATTGAATTGGACATAAATAAAATAAAATGTTGAGCCTTCGTAAGTACGAATTGATTATTTTGTGAGAATAATACCGGAATGAAAATTGGGATTAACAGTTGGAGCAGCTTGGAAAATGATGTGAAATCAAAGCAATTGTCGTGCTTTCAATTAAGTAAAAATAGTCATTATGTTCGATGCAATTATTTTTTATAACGTTGCTATGACATCCAAATTTTAATGAATTATTGAAATATCTTGTATCACAATTCGTCTCGATTCATTATAGTGACTGGCAAAGGCATTGTTTACTTCGTAAGGCAGCTTTCTCCTTCGAAATTCTTTTCTCAAAACTGTCGACAATATTTAGTTTGCTGCCGCATACAGATTCTCTTTACTTTACTTCACTTACGTGCTAGATTGCGGATTTAGCAGCTTAGCGTAATTCAAGAATAAAATATACATAAAGGTACGCGCGAAGCATCAACGCGAAAAGAGAGGAAATTCCTAAACAAGTACTATTAAAGGCCCTCTGCTTCAAATGAATAAATGTAGAACGTCCAAACAAAGTTTATTTGGCGCATGACGTTGAGGCAAGCATCGTTAGAGCACGTCCAATTTCAATTCAACCTCGCCTACGTCACGCGACATTTTCGTAAACTCGTAAAGTCAGAAACGTTCGGTTCGTCCGTCTGCATTTCGGTTAGTTGGGCTCCTCGACGACTCGCTTAAATAAAATGGGTTTCGGCAGGCAGTCGCGAATAGCCGCAGCTCGAGTGCAAAAAGCAAAAGAGACGAGATTCGGAAACCAGATTCGTATGCCCGAGCCGCCAGCAGAACCACAACCCCCCTCCCCCCGCCGTCCAACTCCATCCAACCGCTCGTCCACCACTCCGTCCCATCGTAGCCCTATACCGAACGAGCAGCAACGTCGGCCGTCGGTGGGAGGAAGAAGCCCTGACCATCGCCGAGTACAAGCTGCATCGAGACGTCGCTATAATAAGGGATTGTTATCCGTGTGGACAGGCGAGTCGATTAGCCGACGGTGGACTTGATCCAGGCGAGATTGGAGGCGACCTGGTCGTAGAGCCGCGGCCGCTCGGCTCCCGATTTGGAGCAGGCGATGCGCCAGTTGCCGACACCCGCGAGACTCCATCTACGACCGTCAGCCTCGAGGCAGAGCAGAGGACTGCCCGCGACCTCCTCCTCCTGAAACAGAAACGGGAATCAGTACGGTCGCATTCGCAATAGCGTCTGCAGTACCGGAGTAACCGGCTACGAGGCTGCATCTCGCGACTCCAAAAACTACTCGGACCATCTTTCTCAGCAGCCTCCGTGTGTGTGTGTTGTCTTGTGGCCGCGTTCAACACATTAAGCAGCTCACATGTCAACTTCCAAAGCACTCCGACATTCCCAAGGCCCATTCACCAGCCTCTGGCTTTTTCTAACATTCCGCCTGAGCTTGGCAAAATTTCACATACTTTGCTTGCTAAATCGACAGTATTATTAGCAGTTTTAAAGGAACGAGCATCAAATAACATTTGTGCGCGTGATTTACAGGATAGGATAAGTCGTGCCGCTTACAAAGGCTAATTGAACGACAAACGACATAATATACGAATATGAATATAAGAGCTTCGCTTACCAATTCAAGTTCATTAACGGAGTTTTAATTTATACTACAACTATCTTAGCGTTGCTCGTTACTTTGATAGCCCTAAATTCATTCTATCCAGTGGACGTAGCAATATCTAAACTATGTATGCTTTTGATACATTGAGGATAGTTTCTGCTAAACAACAAAGTTTTATCGATAACATTGATTTTTGTCTTCGGTGTATTAAATTTATTTGCTATCACTTTTTATTAATTATCTAGTTTAAATTCAAAAAGCTTCAAATTTAATATTCAATATTCAGTTTCCATACACTGAGTAACCGTTAATTAACTTGGCTAATACGATGCATTCTATAGTAAATAAATAAATAAATTACCTAAGTAATATCTTCTCGACAAAAAAAATATATATATATATATATATATATATACATCATATAGTACTTTACAAAAGATTGATTAAAATAAAAAAAAAAAAAAAGAAAAAAAAAAGAAAAAAAAAAAAAAAAAAAAAAACTTAGATATGTGCGCGAGATCTATAAATAGAATACTTTTAAATATTTTATGAATTTAATTAAAATAGTATGATTAATTTGTCGTAGAAAATTCATTTGTTTTCATTTTCATGAGAAAAAGTTACAGCAATTTTAATAACATCTAATATTTAAATCTTTGACCTTCCAAAAAAAAGTTAACTATTTCATTTAATAATACCGAAATATTTATTTACATTAAGCATTTTTCAACATACAACAGCACGCGGAAGAGTGAAAAAGTATACAATGAATAAACTTTACTCCGAAAAAACTTTACCGTGGATAAAAAATAGAATACTTTATTTAAAAATGATATTGATTTATATTCAATTAAGTATAAAAGTTTTTAAAACAATTATTGTTAAACTTTTTTATACAATTGTGTATATTTGATTGCGAATGTATTAAACAAAAACAAAAACAAAAATAAAAAAGATTTATAAAAACCATAGAACTTGTAGCAAGAATAGCATATAAAATAAGTACTTTTCTAATAATTTTATAAAATAAACGATGTATAATAACTTTCATTATCTTTTTACAAGATAAATTTTTAGGTAAGAACAATATAATATTGTAATTAATAATATACTGCATTTAAATTTAATAATAAAATTTAATTTCATGCTGTTTTTTGTTTAATTTTTTTTTTTATAGCCTAAGAGTTTTAAAGAATTACTTTCACATATTTTTACTAATGTATGCTTTTGCAGGTTTTATTATCAGTTCGGTTATCGGAATTGTGATAAGCAAACTACTAAGCAATTGGCATTATATTCAATGTAGATTTATTTAAATATTGTTATAACTAACAGATAATTTCACAGAATTTATATAAAAATTTATTATTATATTTTTTACATTTCTATCGTACTGTGCATTTTATCCTTGTACTCTGCGTATTTTAGTTAAGCTTCAGATATGGTAATTAATAGAAATATTAATTTTAATTTAACGTTTCAATTATCTACATTGAATCGCGTTATTTTCATTTTAAATAAATAAATAAATAAATGTATATCTATATATTCGTTTCTCATGTTTAAAATTTCATGATATTTTTTACAATTACCGATACATCTGTTGTTAATACATATATTTATACAAAACAAACTTTGAATATTGAAAAAAATATCTTATGTAATATTTGTGTCTTCGTTGTGTGACGATAGAATAATACAAACTTTCTATCGATGAATAAAGCATAAGCTTCGGTAAGGAGAATAAGTTTTGTTTTGAATTGAAATTGACAAATATCACTTTTATTTCTAAAAATGAATTGCTGGTATATTAAAGGAAAAGTAAATTTACAAGTATGATGAGAAGAGCAGTTCAATGAAATTTGAATATTTTGTTGATGAAATTTTATCTTAATAATGTGGAAAACATCAATTGAATTAATTAAAACGAATGGACTAGAGACAACATTAATGGAATACACTTTCGTATAATTTCCTGAATATAACGTATATCCATCTATACGACGAGTCCTTCGAAATTCATTTTTAACACTGTCTTTGTATAGTTTATGTAGCTTCTCCTTACAATACATAGATTTCCACAAAACGTATAAAGCATTCAATTTGGAGAACGGTTTGATATATACTTTGTATACGCAGGGGCGAGCGCGCGCGCGCGCACACACACACACACACACATAGAGAGAGAGAGAGAGAGAGAGAGAGAGAGAGAGGCCGTAGATTTAATTTGAAAAGTTAATTTAGATAACAGCTAATGTTCAATAATGTCAAACTTTAATCTAATCTAATAATAATGTTCATTCTTATATTTTAAATCATTGTGCCGGTGCTCTGACTTTTGTTTGAAAGTTTCTAACTTACGCTACCGAATCTGCATCCATTTGTGTATGAAATCCCACTGAGCAACTTATTCGCGATATACGAGAGAATAGAAAGAGTATCAACTAATTTTGTAACTTTCTTAATTCAAAAGTCTTAATACGAGAAAATTCGCTCGAAGCCAAATGTGAGCCCAGTCACCAGTGTGGAAAAGCCTTGATGTTAACGTAAGAACGTCAGTAAAAAGTGAAAGTTCATAACAAGACAAAATGACTTAAGCATAATTCAATCAAAGCTCCCAAATTATCAATCCGCTAATTACGTAATATTTATATTTTAAGCAATGAACTTACGCATTATTTATTTTATTTACATTTTGCTTTCTCTTCACCGTACTTCCCGTACTCTTTTACAACTGTGATGCTTAATGCAATTAAATACTATAAAAACTATTACCACATTTCGAATTGTTTTATTATACGGCAAGAAGTTCGTTTCTCTCTCAATTGTAAGTGTGTATTGACGAGCGTTGTGCACTAAATTTTGTGGTTGGGAATTTCCAGTCTACAACGTGCCGTACATCTTTCTCATGTCTTTAATAGCTCGCCATACTACTTTAATTATGAGAACTTATCGAGTAAAGAGAAAATTCATCGACAAAACAAATAAATTTAGCTTGAAAGCCTTATTCTTAAAAAATTTTCCATATGCTAAAACAAGTAATACTTTAGTTAATTCATTAACATTAACTTAAAGTAGTTTCACACAATATAAGACATTTATATTTCAAGTTAGCTTGGAGTTTTCTTTTTACTAAAGAATATTCTATGTAAAGTTGACACATTTTGAATGATTATCAAATATTTTTAATATATATTTTTCTATTGCTTTTCACGTTCCGATTTCAAAAATACGTTTCACTTTTGCTTGAACTTTTTTTTTTTTTTTTTTGTTATTATCTCTTTTGTCGTTATTATGCATCCTTCCGCAGTCTTATAGCACGAACATTAAAAATTTTTTTATTAAATTGTATGGTAGGAAATTATTATAGTTTTTTTTTTATGTTGAATTTTCTTGGATTTTTTAAAATAAATTTAAAAAGTATTTTTCAATTACTAGCGTAAAATTCGCGATGCCTACTAAATAATGGCAAATTAAAAAAATACTGCACCACGGCTTTCAGAGATAAAGATTTCTCAAAAAATAGTTTTTTTCACACGACCTAATAACGCGATTTTTATAAACGTTTAAAGATCTGATTTGCTTTTACCAATTGCAAAAAACATTACGATGAAATTATAAAATAATACATGTAATTGTTAAATACGTTTAAAAGACGGCTAATAGAATTCGATATGCTAACATTTATCACGTACAAAGTTAATGAGATACTTTATGAGTAATTAATTTGCAATACTTTCATTACATGTTATTCCAAACTTCCAGCTGTTAATCAAAAGCTCGTGAATCTTTTAATGAAATTTATCGATTATGCCTGTCTTTACATATTTAATTTATAGAAATTCTTTCAAGTTGAATAAAAAAGTGTGTGTGTGTGTGTGTGTGTGTGTGTGTGTGTGTGTGTATATATATATATATATGTATATATATAATAGCGTTTAATTAAGTTAATGATTAATAATACAACCATTATCTTTTTTTATTTAGAAAATCATTTTTACTCGTACTTTAAATTTTATAATACTGGACAAAATGACAATACTTTGATTCCATTGTTATTTTAATAGAATATTACAAGTATAATCGAAGTTTTCTTCTTCTTTTTTTGTTTTTTCACTACGATTCATCATTGGATATACTTTAATAAAATGTATTTAATATTTATCGCAATTTCCATTTATTTATATAAAATGCTCTTATTTTGAAATAAATACTGTTAATGAAAAATCTATATGCGTCAAAATGGAATAAGAGGTAGTTTTCAAGTTCATAAAAAGATGGACGTAAAGTTTATCGTTAACGATTTATCTATATACGTGACATAAAATTGAAATACATAAAGAATTTAGAAGCTTATTGCAACGATAGTCGAAAATATTCAATATTCGCATTTTATCGCTAAAATAATTCTTCAGTAAATAAACCTTTAAGCAATAATTATATATAGTTTTGTACGTTGCTAAACAGTTGTTATTGCATTTGTAAAATAACTAGACTTTATTGAAATAATATAGGAGGAAAGAAGTAAAAGTATGGAAAGTATAATAGTTATAATTGTTATAAATTTATAAATTGAGAATCTTTAATATAGATGATTTTGATAAGTTTCCATTTTACAGATTTTATTTCTTTTATATCATTTACGGCGCTACGTATAATGTTTTAATTGAATTGGAACAAACAAAAGAATACTCAATTTAGTTTTTAAGATGGTGAGATTCGTTTTTTTTTTTTTTTTTTTTTTTTTTTTTTTGTTACAAGTTTTGATTATCAATGGAAACTTTGTTCGTCTGAGTTTATAATTATAATATCAATTATAATAATGCCAATTTATATTATTTACCTATAGAGAAAATTTTTGTGATTACTTTTTTAATTTTGATTTAATATCTTGGTACTCTGTATGGATATTTTAGGATAATCGTTACTATCATAGACCATAAAATAATGTTGTGCAATTTTTTATTTTCTGTGACGCACGTAATGTATAGTCGAAAAGCTCGTGCCATTTATCGATTTCTACAGCCTGTTGGACAATTAACAATCTATCCAAATAATTGTTAAGGCAAGTCACTATATGCTTCGTTAATAAAGTTTTGCTACAATTTTTACTTATCAATGCTTATGAATGTAGTACAATATCATTAATAAATTAAGTATTAAATAGTTAAAATTAATCAATTTATCGAAATTCTGGCAATCAAAGTATATATAGAACGTGATATTTTTTTTTATTATTCTTTTTCGTTTTTTTTTTTTTTTTTTTTTTTTAAATAAATACTATATAGAGCAAAGTTAAAAAAAACAAAAAAAAATAAATTTCCTATTTCTTATTAAATTATAATTGGATAAACAAGAAAGTTTTACAACATTTCTTGGGGCCATTGCAAGCTACGAGAACTTTACCGTATAAATTTCCGCTCTTTAAAATAAAACCGACGTAACTCACTCAACCGAATCTCTAGTGCATGCAATTCATGAGATACCAAGTTTTACGCGGACAATACTACCATCTTCAAAGGCATTGCGTCTGGCGGTAATTGCGATCGCATAGCAACGATCGCTATAGTCATTGGCGACGGTATTGTGTCTCGATAAAATCTCGTGTACACGACGACCGCATTGGAATATTTCATTTCTTAAAGTACCAAAGTTAAATAACACGTGTAAGAGCAAGATGCAACTATTTAGATTTCGTTTCTTCATTTATCAGAATGACCGTTCGTCGTGGTAATAATAATACTCGATATCTAACCGTTAATATCATTGTCCATAGTGATAATTTGCAAAAAAGAAAAAATACGATAGATAATGGATACTGGATGGGGAACGGGGACGGAACCAACATCACAAATCATATATTTTTGAATTTGAATAAGCGCTCGATTTGCAAAAATAGTTCAAAAACAGTATGCGCACACTGTATACAGTTTATATTGCGTAGCAAATGCCATTCACTCAGCTCCAGTCCATACGAATTTGCATAGAAACAAGATTGGTTTTTTAATGTTTTTCTATGCCGTTAGGAATTCATTGGACGCCTTTCGGTGTAATATTAGTTTATACGTCTTTAACTACATAGTAGTACCATTTCTCATATAAACTGTTTACGTGTGTTTCGTCAACAAGTGACGGCGGTACTTGAAAGACATGAAATTATAAAAAGTAGCGGCGACAAAAATCAACGCTTTACAAAAATCTGCTAGTAATAAACGGGCGTACAAAATTCGACGAGGTATTATTATTTAAAGGATTTTCTCTATTTGGAGTAATAACGGTAATTATAAGTTCCGAGACGTTTACTTATGCGCAATGCTGATATTGTTGTACGCGCTGTGCATTGGTCAAAATTTCTACAAAGTCGATAAGTAATTAAAAATTACAGGTATAAATGAGAGAATCACACAAATTAATTATCTATTTGATTTTGAAACTAGAAAATAATTAATTCGATACTCACTGTACAATCGTCGGTTGGATAAACAGCTTCAGTGCAAACGCTGTTTACCGAAGCTATACTAACATTTTCACATTTTTCCATTGCATTGTACCTTAACTGAACTCTTTGTAATAAATCACCTGTGAATAGGAAAAAAAAAGAAAAGATGTACATTATATATATATATATATATCAGTTATAAATATTATATAACTTTACGCGAAACTTCGTAGAATATTATTTATGTGTATTCAAATTTCAGAAATATATATATATATATATATATATATATATATATATATATATAAAAGAGAGAAAAAAAGGAAAAAAAAATAAAATAATCGGTTAATTTCCTCTAATGCATTTGCGTTTGGCTTTATAAACAATCTATTTTACTCGATACATATTTTCAACTCGAAAAACATATTTTACTCGAGTGCATGTTTAAAGAACTATGGAAATTTATTGTATTGACAGATTAAAAATAAAAGAAGAAAGGCACAACAAGGCAACGAAATACGAAAGATACAAGAAATAGTCAAAATGCAGGTTTAAAGTAATTCAATTATTTTTAAGCAATTATCAATAAAAAAAAAATGAATAAATTAATAAAGAAATGACTAACTTTACGTATGAGAATTATGTAGAGAAAAATTCAAGGGATTTTCATTTATAGCGTTACTTTATTTATTTTTTTTTTTTTTTTTTTTTTTTTTTCAAAAAAAAAAAAAAAGAATCAACACAATAATGGACAAAATAATAACAAAATAAATAAATAAAAGAAACGAGAATTTTTGTTCATGAAATATCCATTAATATGAAATTTTTTAATGAAATTAGAAAAATGGAGTGTGTAAAAGAGACTTTTTGTAGTATGTATATAGTTGTAAGGAGAAAGAATTATATTTAAAAATACTTCAGTAAATTAAAAATATCTTAATTTTGAATCTGAATTGCAGCATGAAAAATAGTAATAAACTCATTTTTTCTTTTTTCTTTTATTAAATTCGATACAATTTTGTCTCTTAGGCTAATAAAATCATTCCTTCCGCAGTATTTTTCAAAAACTAATCATAACTTTATATTAAGTTTTCTTTATAATATATATATATATATATATATTTTTTTTTTGCACATTGAAAAATTCAAGCCATGTAAAACTTTTAGTTAATGCAAATCCAAGATTACTCTTAATTTAAACAACTCCCTCCCCCCTCCTCCCGCCCCCCAACCAGTCGTGCAACGTGCGAATATACGAATAATATACGAGACATAAAGAAAATAAACTCGCGAAAACTTTTTGTACACAAGTTTGAATTCGAGTGCGAAAAATTCTCTCGAATCTATTTCGTAATATAATTAGTTCCTTACCCGCTTACTTACGACGCTTAATCCCAGCTTTTGGAAAAATCCGTGGCTCGCTATTCCAAATATTTCCGACCGCCCAAGCGCACAATGAAAAATCGCACAAATACCGACCAACACTCGAGGCAAAATTACCCACGGAAAATTCCACGAATATGCCTCAATTCCCGAGCAAAATCATCCCAAGCCTCCAAGTACATTCTATCCAAACTGAGATTTTCCTCCCCTTAACTACCGGCATTACAATCTTAGTTTCACCATCAGACGCGACTCCTCGCACCATTACGACTCCGGGCGTTGCATCAAGACCTCGGGCACCAACTCCCCACTCGGCGGTACTCTACTTACGGTTTTTGGCCCAGCCAAGGGTATTGCAGTGGGTGTCGTTGCTCGCGGGGCCCCCGGACGGCAGGCAAACCGGTCGCACAAAGTCCGAGAAGGCCGTGATCGGACGGTCCATCTTCAGAAGCACGAGACTGCTACCCTCGACAGGCGACTTCACCATCCCCACTATCCAGCGCTCCTGTTCCCAAGGTGAGCTGCTGCTCAGCCTGACGGCGCCCAGCCTCGCCGACCACTCGGCCTTCGGCTGCCTGCGCATTCACAATCATCTCATCATCTAACCTTCGCAAAAACGATCCTTTGCGATAAACGACCCGTAAACGGCACGCGAGCATCGATCACTAAGGGCTTAAATAGCTCGCTCGCTAGACGCAAGGACACTCAGGGCTCTTGCTCCCTCGCAATTTGCGAATTCGCTACTTCCGTAATCGATAACATATACGTAGTTATACAAGCGTGCGTGAGCGCGAGTTTGTTTGTTTGTGCTGTTTGTAGAGGAGTTCTATAAGCACTAGCCGGCACATACTTACTTATTTTGATCTTAGATTGTGTTCTTTACACTGGGACAAGGATTTGAGAAATTTATTAAAGACTTTCATTCGTAACTTATTTCTTGTAAGAGTTAGTCTCATAGGAATCAATAATATTCTCCCAACTTTTCAAATTCTACCTCGCCTATCGATAAGGCCATTCGAAAACCTTTAATAAGAACTTTATGCAATTACATAACTTGCAATATTTGAATATTTTATATGTGCATTTATATGCGTGTATTTTTACTATAATGTATGTAAATTGTCAGCGTAATCAGTTATAATATAAACAGGCTGTTTTATTCGATTAGAGGTGATATCGACGGATCGGCGGACTATTCGAATGTTTAATTCTCGAGACAGAAGGGCCCGTTCTCGTTAAATGCAGATAAGTACGTTATGTAACGCCGATTGGTTTAATTGTAATTGAAATATTGGAAAGTATTTGGAAGGGAGATTATGTTATTTTATTAATAATCAGCCGTAGAAAGGAATAGAGGAGATAACGATCCATTTGCTTGCTCGTAATTAATTATGTCCAGTCGAGTGCGAACGTAATATTGCTTGTCCGTCAGCTTTCATACATCGATCTTACATTAAGATATCAATCTTACATATACAGTTAGTTTCATAATACGTTAAATAAAAACAAAAAACAAAAATAACAAAAAATAACAAAAAAATTAAAGAAAATTACACTATGGCTTCGAGCGTTTTTTTTTCTTTTTAAATTTAAACTGCCTAGCCAGCACGATATTTATTTTATTTACCCTCTAAATAATACTCATTTTACCCGACAGACAATCAATTACGAGAGTATAATGACAATGCTAAGTTATGTCACGGACATCATACTCGAACTCGAGAATTCTGCTTTCGAATACACGGGATAACGAAATGATGATTCTTTAATCATTCAGTCTCTGATTTTGGCCAACAAGTAATGAAAACCATTATAATTATTATTATTTTTCTTATATTTGCTGTTGTTTTGTTTTTCATAAAGTTGACCTTTCACGTGTCATTGATTCAATGTTTATCCAAATGCCATTATTTTTAACGTAAAATTTTGTGCTTCTCTCTCTCTTTTTTTTCCTTTTTGCACATTTCTTCTCCCGACACGTTGTTCAATCGACAATCGTGATTAAAGGTCTTCCAATAATGGTTTTTAATAATGATTTTCATTTGAGTGATATACGTTTCAACAATTATTGTACAGCTTTCAATTGCGTATTTTATGAATATATCTAATTGCTTTTTCGATATGCAAATGATCTACAAACTTTCTTTATCAGAACTGAGAGCGTAAAGTACATTCATATTAACATAATTTCGTGTAAAATGAGAATAATTTGAAAAACTAGTGCCGCTGATAGTTAGAAAAATTAGCTATTTTCTCGAATAAATTAATCATTTTTTTCCCTATTTTTTTTTTTTTTTTTTTTTTTTCCCACCTTTTATAAAACTTTAAGACGTAATATAGGATCGTGTATCAATCTTATAATCTGCTCAAATGTAAGGGTCTGTAGTCATTTGAGAATATGGATGATTATAGTCATTGCGACTCGATGGGCTGATACAGAAAAAATTTGGACCGCGATAGCTGATAAATGGCTTGATCATCATCGTCAAACTAGCAAATTGTTTCGAGCCTTTTTATTCCCTCGTATCTTCACCGGCATTTTCCCGTATATTTTGCTCCAGCAAGTAACAAGGGTTCAAAGGAACCACCTTCACTTATAGACCAACAGAAATCGTCTCCCTTCCATCTCCTCCCCAATCGCCACGACTCACCACACAACACCGCACCAAGTTTTCCTAAAACGAGATTTCTCGCGGCTCTTTTGAAAATTACCGCCTCAAAAGATGCCTTTAGAGTGGCATGGCTTTTCGATTATGAATAATTTGTAAATCTCTTGCTCTACCCTCGTATTCCCCACGTTGTTCACGTACTTTCTAATGGCGGCCGTGCTTTTACAATCGATACCGCGGCTCCTGCAACAGTTTACACTCAACTCCAATCGCGGCACTTTCATTGCAGCGCAAAGCCCCAGCTACTTAAACCAATGAAATAAGCATTTATACGTGGAAATAATCGCACGATATTGTAAATTAGCATGTCGAATGGCCGAGTCCGAAATTAATAATCACCTGACTGGGGTTTGCCATTTGCATAAACCGAGCACATCGTCGTACAAAGTGATCGTCGCTCAAAATAATTTACAGCCTAGTTATATTAGAATTGCCGTAATTCGCTCACCCAAACACGGTCTTGCGCATATTAAATGCACAGTGCGATTCAAATTGGCAAGGCGCGACTTGTCTATCGTTAGCGTTAAAACGTACTTGCAATGTTTTCCGAGTATAAAGATATTTTATATGTCGGGGCACTAAAACGCCCGCTTATTGGAAATTTTGGCGAATCACTAGAGACTGTGAAAAACCAAGTGTAAAAGCTTTAGTGTAAAAGGGCACGTTGATTACGGGACAATGGTCTTCTCGTGCTCTGACAATGAGCCACGGAATTCCAGCGCATTGAACGCGGTGGTTAAAAGGACTCGGGGCGAGAGGTGTGCGAGGTGCCACTAAGCAGCGGTTGGACTCACCCTTGAAAGCAGGAGGCGGTGGTGAGGAGCCAGGCGGAGGCAACGAGCGTCGCGTCGCATACGTGGTTGTCCTCTTTGAGGAGGGCCACGTGCCAGGGCCAGTCGCCCGGCCCGGAGATTTTACCCAGGCTCTTACTCGCTCCGGGGCTGCTCTTGCTACGGATCCCCTGGATGCCGCATGCTGTGAACGTACAGGATAGTGGCATGAATAAACGACCCGTAAATAGGCGAATGAGCTGGATGGACGATTCTCTCCTCTTAAAGGGCATTTACGTTTTGGGACGGTTGACACCACACGGCCCTGTACATTATTAATGCTATGCCTGTATGGTCGGGGGTATATGGGTAAGGGGAAGCTGGTGACATTACGCGAGCGCGACGTCGGGGCTGGCCCACCTACAGCCCATAGTTTAGCCGCTTTTATCAAGTCCAAAGCGGAACAGCTTCGGGGCAATGATAAATCCTCGATGAATGCACCCACAAACTAAATTTATTGCCTGCTAATGTTCGAGCGGAATTCTGCCATTTCGTATTGAAATTAAGCTTTCTTTGCGTTAATTTCACGAGATATGCCATCCCCGATAATCCCAATAACTCCAGTAATCCCTTCAATCTAATAGGCAATTAAATTAAGCATTGGCAGGTAACCTGTCGATGATTCGGCTTGATGTGTTTGTCAAGTTTGTCAAGAGGAGGTCATCGATAGTTTAAGCGATTTAGAATAGCAGAGATCATTGTCATAAAATTGAAAAATCTTTGGTCCAGAGTTTATTAGGAGTAGCTTGGTGGATATGCCTGGCTTCGGCCAAATTCTAAATCGGTAGAAAAAGCTCTCGACGTAACGGCGAATCCGACTTGATATACCCATTTATCGTTTGACTCGTCCGAAACTAATCGAAATCATGATTTTGACATCGGATCGTCATCAAAGCGTCACCGTAGAACCGAGTGAGACCAGCATTTGACCAGGGCGAGTAAATTAATTGCTTCCGTACGCACCAAGGCCAGACATTTCCATATGGCAAGAATCGTCGCAATTAAGTGACGTCTCATCAAGGACAGGATTATTCATTTAATGAGTGCAATTTAAAATTTGTCAGTGCTTGAGTTACCTAGATCGGTGCAGCGGACGTACATGACTTGTTTGCTTGGGCAGGGCGCCCTGACGAACGTTATTTCTGCTGCAGTGGGATCCTGCATGAGGACGTATGGCACGCCATCCTCTTCGTCAGTTCGCACTTCGACCGACTTGACGCCTCTGCAAAATATATTTAACAAATCGGTGATTGAGTTTGTTTGTGTTGCAAGGCTGATTATTGGAATACGTGTAGTCTACGAGGGTCATTTTTTTTTTCAGATTTAACTTACGCTCCACGCGATGTAGACAATAAGCGCGCGAATTTGCCGGCAATTACCCAAAATTGAAATTATTTGCACTTTCTTCTTGTCAAGAGAGTGAATTCGCTTGCATTATATATGTTATAAGTTTTTTCGAAGTCTACTCGAGGCATATTCATTTATATCATCTAATAATTAACACATTATTGGTCAGGATTGTTGGAGAAGTTTTTCCATTTTTGAATTATATTCAATTTGCCATTCATTATCAAATAGCCATTTATTGTTTATTGTGGGCCCAATTTTTTTTTTTTTTTTTTTTTTATTGTTAATCATCATAATCATTCAATGAAAAATTAACTCTGCCCCTTTGCTTGTTATTAAATTAAAAATGTGAAAAATTATTTTTAAATAATGAATATTCGTGAGCAAATGTGTTCACGTTGACGTGTAAATCGTATCAATTCACATGCCACACATTGACTATTGATTGTTAGCCACGGCTCAGCTATATACTTTGCGAAAGTCATTCAAAAACCTCATTACAATGACATTTTATTATAATAATACGATAAAATAGTATATATATATATATATGTGTGTGTGTGTGTGTGTGTGCGTGTGTGTGTAATTGGTTTTTTCCGTTGCATTGATATCAATTGTTAAACTGAAATTTCATTCGCGGCTAATCATTACCTAATTAAACTTGCATTAACAAGTGGTTTGTACAAAAGTATACTATAAACGTTTATCATTTAATTCTCAAACTCCGTAAAGTGCAATAAATTAAAGAAAAGTTTTTTTTTTATGACTAGTTGAGTACACTTACGGACTGCGAGCCTATATAATTACAATACATCAACTAAATTAAAAGATTTGGAAATTTATAGTTTAATAGCATTTTCGGATCATTAAGGCGCAACAATTTGCATTAGGTTGCAAACGTCAAGAAATTTACCTTAAAAATCGATATTTCTTGCACGAGATCCCAACCGACCACGTATTATCGTTGCCCTTCCCGTAGGCTCATTTTTTGGATAACTTTGAACGCAATTTCGAGCTGGAGTTATAGTATGTTCGGCTCCTTAAAAAGAAAAGAAAACCAAGCAAACTCTCCCTCACGTTCGGTTTCAAATTTCAAATGATATCGATTGTTGCATCATAATAATGAAATGCCCATTGCTGTAAAGTCAGAGAGCATTTGAATAGAGCACTATCGCGTAAAGTGTACAGTCATTAGCTTTTCTCGTTGTTAAAAAAAAAAAAAAAAGAAATAAAAAAGTAAATAAAAACTAAGGCTTAACATCGTTGTTGTTGTTATTAATTAGAGACGTGGAAGAAGCGCGGCGAGTTACACTTGCTCCAGTCTAATTTCAATTCAAAGCGTATGTCGGAGAAAAAGGCTGAGGCAGCCTAGAAAGGTTAAGGCTCGGAATACGAGACAGCGCGGCCGAAGCTATCTACCGAAGGACCCCGATTAGAAGACTACGAGGCTCGTTCTTATCCCCTCGCCCTCCACACGCAGTCGATTACCGGCATAAAAAGTAAAAACAGAGGGAGTGCAAAAAGACGGGAGGGATGGAGGGAGGGGGGGGGGAAGCAGAAGAAAAAAAAAACAATAGCCAGTTCGAGGTTAGGGAACAACTCACTCGAAGGTCATGAGGCTGCAGAGCGACTGGGCGGTCGACTGGAGGACGGATTGCATTTCCGTGTCCGGGAGAGTGTTGTTCAAGTTGTCCGTGCAGATTTTGCCGACGGTGCCCTTCTCGTTGAACACGACGTAGCCCTCGTCGGTGTAGCGCGAGGGATGTGCGCTATCCGACGGCTGGAGCTTCAGGAACTTTAGACTCGGGGCCAGCGAAACTGCGGACATGCAAATAATACGCTTAGACCGAGCCGGCGAGCTTTTCCGTGCCACTTGGCTCCTCATTTATACCAAAGCACTCGTTTACTGATTTTTAACAATGGCATTGCTTAAGCCCGGGTGGACAAGGACCGAGCAACGATCTTGGCATGCTCAGCATGCGCCAGCATCTAGAAAGCTATTACCATATGGATTTGCTTTGGTGCTGTCGTAGCTTTTACTTTAGGTAGGGGTAATGGCAATTATACTTGGGGATAAAAGTAACACGCTTGTCTGTCAATTTCTCACTCGCATCGTATCAAGATTTTTCCATTTAATTTGTCTCGGCATTTTCAGTGCAACAAGGCTCACTACATTCTAATGGAAATTCAATATCGAAATATCGACTTTGCGACATAGTCCTCACCCTCTAATAAATACCTTAGGGCTAATAATAACTTAGAATTTTTTATTATCGCTTGAAAGGGAGAATGGATGGGGAAGGGGCGAGGAGGAGGAGGAGGAGGAGGAGGAAAGGAACGAAATCCAATGCTTTATAATATGCATTTCACTTTATAATAATTTTGCATTTTCAGATGAATATGGTTAATTGGCAGTTGTATGCGCCGGTCAATTTCGTGTGCTAATAATTTAATTGATTTACAAGAAACGTATAACGAAATGTCGTTGAATATCGGTGATTGGAGATCGGAGCATTGGATCTTCGAAGATTTCATACGCGAATGATAATGAGTCAATGTTATATCGTTATATCGATTAATTTTCTTGAATAATTGGTGCGATACAAATTTCTTGTTTGCAGAATGAAACGTTGCCATTTTGCCTCGAGTAAAAACTAAGTAATCACGGCTACATTGTTGCACGCGCTTGGATATCAGGAAAATTTAGTCGTCCTCGGAACATGAGTTGTCATTAAAATAACTATGGATTATTATTATATTTTACGGATAATTCCAAGTGGAGCGAGAAAAGAAGCGTAGGAGAGCGGAAAAACTTGGGAAATTGATTTCACAGTGTTATGGGAGAAAACTGATTTTCGATATTCGATGCCAGATTTTTTATCGTTAACTAGATTTATCATCGACGGAAAGGAATAAGATTCTTTTGTCTCCTTGGCGGATAATCTGTGAATCGATATTACAATAAATGGTGTTTCAAGCGGGCCAAGCTAATTAATATGTTCTTATATGCAGAGAAATATTGATTTCTACACGGTTTTAGCTTTACTAGTTTTCAAACTATTAACCGCCTAACGCAGATATCAATCAATTGCCGAGAGCGTGGAATGCGCGAATCGTATTCCAGCCAATAATATTCTAAAAGAGAAGAAAGCATGGATTTGGGCGATGCGCATCTTCCAGCTCGCGTCTCGGATTCGCGAGTGCTAGGGTCGCGAGGTAGGCGGGGCATTGGATCGCCGTAGGAGTCGATGAAGCGAGTGGCGAAAAGTGATGGTGGAGAAAAGATACTCACGGCAGTCCTTCTCGTCGCTGGCGTTGGGACAATCGATTTTGCCGTCGCAGCGACTCGAGCGGGGTATGCATGTGGTGCCGATTCCGCAGTGCACGTGGCCCTCGCGGCAGTAAGCGCAGTCCCTCTCGTCCGAGAAGTCCGGGCAATCGATCACGCCGTCGCAGATGCGTGACGACAGGGCCTTCGTCTGGAGCTCACGGATGCAGCCTGCGAACAGGCGGCATTAGACGTAACCACGAAGCTCGGGGCCTCTTTCATCCCCTAATCCGCAAGGAATTTGCGAGCTTGGCGCGTCGCTGCTCCGTCGCTGCTCCGGCGCTGCTCCGTCGCTGCTCCGTCACCCATCCACCACCAAATACTTTTATTCGAGCAGCTGCGGCGCTTTAAGAGTCTCTCCAATCTTAATCTTTTTCGAGGCTCTGTTTTTATTATGCGTCGTCTACTACGACTAATTTTTTGTTTTGGTTCTTTTTTTTTTTTTTTTTTTCTTTTTTTTTTTTTTTTTTTTTTTTTTTTTTTTTTTTTTTTTTTTTAAAAAACCCCGCAAAGCTACCGAAGCTTCGGAATACGCGAGTCATATGTTGCAGACTTTATTCGAGCTTATTCGGCCGAAGCGACTACTTTCTCGATTGCTCTCCTTGCAGTTAATCAGACTTTGCTATTAATTTTAATTATCCTCCGATCGTATAAAATATTGTATGCTTGTGACAAATGATAATTTATTTTAGAACATTATCACTCGGGCGCAATTGCTGACGAAGCAATAAAATAAACAACCACTCGCTAATACGTAAAAAAGTGCTATGAAAATTACAGTGGGATGCCTTTTAAATGCCATTAGAATAAAGAAGAATGCGATGATGACGAGGAAGAAAGGATTGATATTTATTTGAAAAGTTGAGATTAATTAGCGTTTCAAATGACATTTACTATATCAAATTCAAATGGGTATTATTTAATGATCATGATACAAGATAAATAACACTGTGTACGTATAATAGGCGAAATATTTGCTATGAATTATTAAAAAAATAAAGCAAAGAACAACAAATCGAGTATCTTCAAATTAATTTACATAGTTTTTATAAAAACTTATTTCACTTAACTATATATAACTTGCAACATGTATGTATAATATCGAATACAATTCAATAAAAAATAAGTTCCAGTTACATTTATATTAGCATAGACACTTCCAACATTAATCAAATGTTTATTTTAAAATACTTTCTAATGGATATGTACATTATTATTAAGATTTTATGAATATTATTATAAAATTTATCATTAACTCGCTTACCATCGACAGTCTAAATTTTGCCTTCTATATATTTTTCTATTGTTTATTTTGCATCCTTTTCGAGCTTGAGTAACATGGACTATTGAAAAATTCAATTTAATTTTATATTTTGTCACGAAGCATGTTCATTTTCATTTTTGAAATGCCATTTGATTTTATTGTAGAATTTCGCGTACTCGGTTGGTTGGGGATGAAAAAACTTTTTCGTAATTATTATTAGCAATGAAGATAATCATCATAAACTCTCTTAATAAAATTAAATAAACCATCAAGCAATACATGTGTTAATGCAAATTTAAATTCTGTTAAATTCTGATTAACTTAATGTGATTCAGATGAGAGGATCGGAAAGTCTATTTATTCAGGATTTATATTATTATCCTTAAATTATTATCCTACACTAGTGATTTCTTCATTGCGTTGTTAAATTTATCACCAAATTCATTATTCATTATATTCATCTGTACTAAATTTTTATAATTCATCTGGTGAAACTATATAAAATAATTTATAGTAAATCGTTCGTTTCAATTATGATTTAAAAATTTTAATTATTATTATAATGATAGAGTAATTGTATAACTGACAATCCTTTGTGGCAAACAATTCTTTTTTTCGCGGATATAAGTTTAAGGGAATGCCCTCGCATGCGCTTGGAGATTATTAATTTTGGAGAACACAAGAACCGTGCAAAGCGAACGCTTGGGAAAAACTTTAGACAGGAATTTTCCATGGCGCGATAAGTTTCCAACGCGAAAAAAAAAATGTCAAAGAAAGAACAGAACGAAATATTTAATTATTCTCTTTGAGAAGCAAAGTGAAAAGTTTTTACAAAATATGCATGTGATTTATAATCATTCCGAGTTTTAAAGCAACTTTAACGTCCCCACACATGCGCACGCGCCCCCGTTCACATGTGTGCGCGCGTCTGTATGCTCAAGAGATTTTAAATCCTCTGCAAAAGCCTTAATTGCGGCAAAATAAGCGAGCAAAAACTGTATTAGCATATCTCACTCGTAGGAAAAAAGGAAAAAAGTTCAGAGATTCCAAATACCTTAATTGCCTTGGGGATTTTCCGTGCCACTACTCGTCTACACATTCAAGCCCACCCTCACCCTTCGGCTTATGCACGCATGCATGCACTCGGTACAACCGACACGACACAGAGAGAGAGAGAGAGAGAGAGAGAGAGAGAGAGAGAGAGAGAGAGAAAAGAAGAGGGAGAGCTGGGAGATCTTACCCGGTTTGGATTTGCAGCTGCCAAGGTCAGCATATTCAGGAAATTTGGAACAGTCGAGAATGGCGCGAAGGCGCTCCGAGAGGCGGCTACCACATCCTGCCCAAAATTCCTTGCAGAAGCCGCGGCAAGGTGGACTCAGGGCGTCCTCATCGTCGCCAGCGAGGTTGAGACACGCGGGTTGCAGTGCCTGGCATATGAAGTCGTAGGCTTGTTTGTAGCACTCGGCGTCCACTAATTCCCTGCGGATATACCTGGTGCATCAGTTTGGGTTCCGGCGATTGGAGTCGCGAGTCCTCGCGGTACTCGAGAATTGTCACTTTGCAATTACGGAGTCGCGGCTCTATGCCTTTTATCCTTTATGCCTTAAAGTTGCGGTGCTTATTTTGTTCTCAGCGCGAGTTGAGTACCGACGACCTCGTTGATCTTGCAATGGTTCGAGCAAAGCCTTCCGCGCGAAATAATACATCACGATGCTGAGACGTGCTAATTTCAAGGCATTAGAAATTAGAAGCCTTCCACCGAGTGCCCGAACAATTATTATTATTATTATTGTCCATCTGGAATTACGAGCTAATTATATGGCATCGATAAGTCCGAGATAAGTGGCAAGTCCCCGAATATCTTTGCATTAGAAAATAAAAAATCGCGCAACTTTTCCATCGTTTAACCGCTTGGATACCCAAGCGTCGTTCGTTCTGATTGCCAAGGGGAATATATTTCCTGTGAATTTTAATGGAAAATAAATAGAAAATTAAGGAGGAGAGTATATCGTATATTAAAGAAAATCATATAATATTCGTCTCAGCTAGAAAATTGCTGCATGTCAGTGTGCCAACAATCAAAGATGAAGTGTTATTAGAAAATTCACTGCAAGTACATCGATTTGCTTTTACAATTATTCAGCGCTTTTTATTTCATTCAAGGTGATTAATAAATTTTTCAATTTCTTCAAGGAAGAATTATCCGTCTTTTCTCTTTCAATTCTTTAGTTAATTTAGGCTCTACCTATTAGGATTTCTTCACTTTTTTGTTAATTAATTTCGATTTCTCGTCATGAATGATAAGAGCGTTTCGAGACTTTTGAACTGCAAATTAGACGTACTAATGTATACACACTTTGTACAACAAATACTTTCGATTTGTCATATTTGATTGGCTTCTATCGAAAATCAAGCTGAAAATACGTTTTCATTGTTATTATCGAGATGAGAAATATTTGATTTTTAGATGAAATCAATACAGCATGCTTTGATTACAATTTGAAAATAAATATCATTTAAATCAATTTAAAAAATGAATAAACAATCGACGATCGATTTCATTTGTTTAAAATTCATTTTCATGATAGAATCAATAAAGGCAATTGTAGCGCCGCCGGCTTAACCTGACTATAAGTAATATTTACCACCATTATTAGCAATTAATTTTTATATTTGCAAGTTCAAGTATATCCGTATCGGCATACTCCTTATCTCCTTATCCATGAAAACGAGGAGCAGAAGGCGAATTAGTGACAAAAGAGCAAATAAAAAATAAAATTACCATTGTCATCGCACATCAACTCGAATGGTGAAAAAAAAAAAAACCATAATAGAGGGCATTAGGGTAGCTATTCGTCTACTTTAAAACGCATACGGTTTATGCTCACCTGAAGGCGATAATGTCGTCGTTGACCTCCTGGAGGTTAGCGTGTCCAAGGAGATTAGGGTAGGACGTGAGGTTGTAGGGCAGATGCTTGCAGTAGGTGAACTCGATGGGGCTGCATCTCCTGGGTGGCCTCGGAGCAATCGTCGTCGGAACGACTTCCTCGGGAACAGAAGCGTTGGTCGCAAGGGCGAGATTACTCGTGGCGCTCGCGCTCTCCTGAACCTCGAGGCTGCCCGGGTCGATCGTCAGATTGGCGAAGAAACGCGAGGCTCCGGGTGTGAGTTCCCTGGTCAGTACCGAGAGGATCGACTCCGTGTCAATGATCCCGTAACGCGCGTCGAAGCGTAAGTCGAAGTGTACCATGAGATCCTGACCCTCGACTCTGTTCGCATGCATATCCTTACGTCAATCCCCCTTTCACCAATGTCGGAGCTTAATTCGCGCTTAGTATTGAGAAAATATAATATAGGTCGAGGGCAGCTAAAACGACCTTTAAGGCTTTCCTTCTGTTTACGCTTAGCATCACTGTTACTTACGATTCTCGCGAGCCTAATCGAAATACGGGAGAAAGTATTTTTTCAGAAATCGCACAACCATCCTGCAGATAAACGTGGCTCAATTAATCTCTAACCTTGATTACGCGCTAAATTTGTAGTCTCTAGTCTGAAGCACGTTATTTGTTAAATTGCAGTGAAATAATTAAATTGGCATGAAATGCCAATGAATCCATTGTTGATAAGGACTAACGTCGTTAGAGTGACAATAAGAGAAAAAAAATATCCTGACACTATGGCGTTTCATGACTGTGACTTCATTAACTTTATGGTAATTAGCGAGTAAATGTTGGATGAAGAAAGCTCTGGTAATAATTGAACAATAATTGAAGAATAGGAAAATAATAATCTAAAATTAATTATATTAAGATCGATGAAAATCTAATGGTTTATTTTGTTTTATTAGTCGTTGAGAGATTTCCTTTTTATTTTTAACTCTATACAAGGTAGAAAAATCATATTTTTCATTTTCGAAATGTTTTCGAGAACAATAGATTACTCGGCTATTGATATATTCCCTATCATGCGTTATTATTAGTGATTTTATAGAAAAGTTCTTGTTGGCGAATAAAGATTTACCGAATAATAGAATACAAATTTTTTAACATTCGACTTGAAATCCAAATTTCTATATTAATTAGAATACGTAATCCAATTTAATAAGTAAATGTTTTTATGTTAAGTTAAGATAAGATAACAATAAGGTGCAGTTTTTTTTTTTACAAAAATTAATAAGAGACTTAATTGATAAGACATTAATAAAATAATAATAATAATTGATAAATGCTTGAATGATGGTGAATATGTGTAGCGTTGTTGTTCTTGTTAAAATGTTAATTAAAAGTGAATTTTGACAGCTTACTGATTTTCCTTTTATAAGAAGGCAAGAAATATGTGTATCCTTGCGTGAAAACAGTTTCAATTGGAAAAGAATTTTTTTCATATGTAGTATAAGGAAGTTGTAAAAAGAGGCATTTGGATCTTTAAATGCTTTAATTATTTAATATAGTTTATTATATTAACATGAAATACGCGGACACGTATTTTAAGCAAAAAATAAATAAATAAATAAATAAATGAATTTCCTGAATTCTTGCGTATTCATTGTGAGCGATAGTATTTGTGCAATTAAGTGACTCTTTGACCTTTCGAGAACATTGGGAAATTGTATTCTTGTATATTTTGTAAGTGTATGGTTTCGTTAATGTTCAAACAGTACGCGCTTATGTCGAAGTAAATGTGCCAAACAATCCATACGATTTTCAGATAAGATATAATATGTGGCTTGAGATATTGAAATTTCATTATCGGAAAATTTAATGCCTTTTATGTGCACACGAATTTGTGTTGGCAGTACACTGGTTTTTTTTAACTTCAATAAAATTTTCAGTATTTCAATATTTCAATTAACACTAATCGTATTTGGATAATTAACATTACAGTATGAATAAAAAAAATATTATTGTTGCAATTCAATTCTGTATTTATGAGTTTTATTGATTAACTTTTTTTTTTTTTTTTTTCTTTTTGTCATCGTGAAAAGAGATGTTTTACGAATTCAAAAATATATCTAGAGTGATTGGCTGAAATATTATTATAATTAAATAAATATGAATTGTCAGTGCCGCCGTATTTTTACAATAATAATTCAATTGCGGTAACGGCGAGGGAAAATTACGCATAAATGTAAATATATTTTATCGATACTTTTATATTTATTAGTAATTTATCATTGATTTGCAATATCAGTGCAGCGAATGGAACACAAGAGGATAAAGACAAAAAGCAATAGCAAACTTAATGGCTTCTATTTACAAAGCCGAAAAAAAAAAATAATATCGCATTTTACATGTGCCGGGATAGTAAAAGTAAATGATACGTGGTTCAAGCATATCGGCAATAAAGGAACGTTAAAACGGAAAATTTCTTATCCCAAACTTTACGCCTCTGGCCTGCAATTCTCCCCTTCGTCCCAGAGTTTTGTAGAATTTTTATTACCCTCGGTACTTTATTACAGCAGCTTGTGCGATTGCACACTTTCTGCTTACCAACAATGTATCATGCGATCTGAAGCGATCAAAGTCTTAAAAGACCCAAGTAAACTAAAACTAGTCGCTTGGAGATAGGAAAGAAAGGACCGTTTACGAGGCCACGATGTCCTTATATTTCGAGTGTTTGTTTATCAATGAAATTACATTCTTACATCACTCGACTTTCTCAAAATTTTGATTTTACAGGCACTAATTAATTCTAATAAAACAATTTGCTTTATTAATATGAAAAAAATTTCATCTCGTACTTGTATACTTGTTAGCTGTCCTCCTCCCTCCCCCTCCCGCCCGCCCACTCCTTTATTATTTTATTATTATTAACCCACAATAACGAATCTTTCAAGCCTAATCGCGATGTTATTTATCTTATGAACATCGGCTTTCAAATCGGTTCTTATTACCTTTAATTTTAATACATCAATGGCAATATAACACATGGACTAATTAGAGTGAACTATGTGCCATGTATATGGTAACGAGAATAAAATATCGAAGCTGTAAAAGTAAAAATATTGAAACTAGTATTTTATTTTATTTTATTTAAAAGTTTAATAGTAGCGTTTCTTAAGTTTTGATTCCAGTTTTTTTTTTTTTTTTTTTTTTTTTTTAAATTATCATTCTTACATAATGTAGTGAATACATTTCAAACGTACTTCACGCTAATAAAATATACAATTTTAAGAGGATTACAAAGAGAATGATAAAATATTAAATTTGTATAAATCGATGACGTAACGAACGCCGCTATAAAATATTTATTCAGTTTGATGAATCACCAAACTACGAATTGGATTTCCCGAGGCGTATTACAATTTTCTTTTTAAATTGCGATAACTTTTATACAATGGTTTTAGAATACATTTTTCATAATAATTACTTTGCAAATCCTCAACTCCATCGCGCTTGGCTAATTTTGCAAATTTTCAATAAAGTGTGCATTATATTAAAACATTAGCTAAAATAAACTGATTTTCCATAAGCGCTATCGAACCCGCGGCAGGAAAAACAAATTGAAGAACCTACATTGGGTTTTTGCTTTCGCTTGATGAACAAGTAAAAGTATAAGAGCTTCTCCTATAAAGTTCATCTACTTTCCATTATTTTCCCGGAGAATAAAGCTCGGGCGACTCCTTTGCCTCCTTAATCCCGAATTTTCAATTTAATTGCAGTACTTGTGCTCCGCGAGTGTTCGGTTCAAAGAACAATGGACTCCTCATCCCCCCCTCCCCCTCCCCCTCCCCCGGCCAAATTTGCGGCAATGCTTGTTATTTCGTATGGCTCGATTTTTACCGCAGCTATTGTGATTTTCACTGCAGCCACGATAATTTCTGCAGCGGTTTTCCGAAATGACGGGGATCCGAGAAGACGGATAGATCAGAATTCATTATATTCACGTCGATTCCCAGATTATATAGTAAAATACATCCGCGGTTAAGAAGATCGAGATCGCACTCGTTCCGCGTAACTATTTTTTTATGCTACGACCTGGAGATAAGTCTTTAACGATTATTTATCGAGACTGTATTAGCTTAGCTTAGATTCGATTATAATAAATTATTCGAGCGAGGTTTATATACTTTAATTTATAGTGGCAACACATTATATATACTGTAATAACGTGATATATCTTGATTACGCTTTCAAGCTTTAGATATTAGGAATTTATGAATTTTTCAATGAAATGGACGAGATTTTTAATGTAAGGAAAAGTCCTTTGCTATGATTGTATATTAAAGTGCATCGCTGTTTTTCTCGTATTATCAATTTTCGTTAAATT